GAAGAGAGAAGATAGAAGAAACTTTTGGATTCAAAACTTATGGCTAGTGGTGCCAGCTATTAGCTTTTATATTAGGGTGACCCAACTAATAATAAAAATAAGTGGAATTACAAGAGTGCCCCTGTGGCACTAAAGAACAGAAAAATAAATAAATAAACTGGGAGTAACTAACTAATTTCAACACTCCCCCTCAAGTTGGGACATCAATATCAATCATGCCCAACTTGTCACATAAATCATTATGCCGCAGATGATGCAATTCCTTGGTAAAGATGTCTGCAAGTTGATCTGTGGAACTGACATATGGAGTGCACATTTCTCCATTTATAATTTTTTCCCTAATAAAATGCTTGTCAACCTCAATATGTTTAGTTCTATCATAAAGCACTGGGTTGGCAGCAATGTTGATAGCAACTTTGAATCACAATACAAGTATATGGGGCCATCAACAGGAAATCCCAACTCATTCAGCAAGTTCTTTATCCACATAACTTCAGCTATGGGACATTGCTCTATATTCAGCTTCAACACTTCTCACCACAACATTTTGTTTCTTGCTCCTCCATGTGACTAGGTTTCCTCCAACAAAGGTACAATACCCACTAGTAGATTTTTTGTCATCAACTGATCCGGCCCAGTCAGCATCTGTATACACCTCAACCTTCAAGTGACCAATCTTCTGGAAAAGTAAACCAGCCCTTGGGAACATCTTTAAATACCTAAGGATTCTATTGGCTGCCTCTAAGTGTGTAGTCTTAGGAGCATGCATGAATTGAATAAGAACACCCACAACATAAGCAATGTCTGGTCGTGTCATAGACAAATATAATAGTCTGCCTAAAAGTCTCTGGAATTGTTTTATATCCTTGATAGTCTCACCTTGACAATCACCTAATCTGTGATTTGGATCAATGGGGGAGTCAACAGGCATGACTCCAAGTTTTCGTATATCCTATAATAAATCTAGGATGTATTTTCTTTGAGAAATGAAGATCCCCTTTTTGGAACGGGCCACTTCAATTCCAAAAAAATACTTCAAGTGACCTAGATCCTTCACCTCAAATTTAGTGGCTAGGAACTCCTTTAGTCTCTAAATTTCTACCTTCCAATCGCCTGTGATCACTATGTCGTCAACATACACTATTAAGGCTGCAATTTTTCCCTCTCCTTTTTTCATAAATAATGTATGATCAGTCTGACACTATTTATAACCAATTTGTTGTACAACTAGGTGAAACTTTTTGAACCAAGCTCTCGGTGATTATTTTAGTCCATACAAGGACTTCTTTAACCTACACACCTTTTTCTCTTGGTCTTGAACATAGAAACCAGGAGATTGCACCATGTACACCTCTTCTTCAAGATCGCCATTCAGGATGGCATTTTTAATATCTAACTGGTGGAGATCCCAATCAAGGTTAGCAATAAGAGAAAAAAGAACTATAATAGAATTCATCTTAGCAACCGGAGCAAATGTCTCTGTGTAGTCTACTCCATACACCTGAGTAAACCCTTTCGCCACCAACCGAGCTTTATACCATTCTACTGTACCATCAGCCCTGTGCTTTATTGTAAAAATCCACTTGCACCCTACCGGTTCCTTTCCCACAAAAAGGTCCACTAATGCGTATGTAGCATTTTTATGTAAGGCATCCATCTCTTTTTTCATTGCATCTGTCTATTAAGGTACTGGAGGAGATTCTGCCACACTTTTGGGGATAGGGACATTGTCAATGGAAGAGAGAAAAGCACAAAAGGAGGATGAGATGTTCTCGTATGAAATAAAGTGGGAGATAGGATGTTTGGTGGTATAAGACCTAACTCCCTTCCTTTGTGCGATTGGGATGTCAAGGTCATTGGTAGAATAAGAATCAATAGCAATAGAACAAGGAATGCCAATAAGAATAATAGTACTTGGTGGGATGGGATCTATCCCCAATGAATCTGATGATGTTGGCAGTACAGTTTCAAGTTGTTCCACAGCTTTTGAACCCAGATCGCCCTTGTGGCAACGAAGAAAGACACAGAACGGAGGGGGTAAGGTAGGGGAGGTACCATTTGAAATTTTTTCTCCTCCACCCTATTCTCCCCCTAAGGAGAAACCAGAAAGAAAGGATCACTCTCAAAAAAAGACACATCCATAGAAATATAGTATTTCCGAGAAACAGGATCGAAACAACAGTAACCCTTTTGGGATAGCCCAAGAATACACAAGGAAGAGCACGAGGGTCAAAATTACCACGAGTAGGAGACAAGTTTTGAACAAAACAATGACAACCAAACACACAAATGGGAATAGAAAAGAAGGGGCTTTAGGGAATAGGAGTTGATGAGAGGCCTTCTACCCTAACACCCGAGATGGCATACAGTTGATGAGATAGGTAGCACATAACACGACATCTAACCAAAAACGTTTTGGAACACTCATATGGATGAGTAAGCCACGAGCCACTTCAAGTAGATGGCGGCTTTTTCTTTCTGCAACACCATTTTGTTGAGAAGTTTTGGCACAAGAGCTATAGTGGGTAGGCCCACACGAAGAAGGGAAAAGGGTCACTGAACAATTTAATGAATTTGTAATGCTACTAACAGAAAACAAGTTTATAAGTAATTTCAGAACATGTAATACATTAGAAAGGGTAAGTCCAAAAGGAAGGGTTATGGTTCCTTGGCCAGCTATGGTGGAAAAAGAACTATCAACTAATCTCACTTTGTCCCTACCAGATAAAAGTTGATAGGATTGAAAACAATTTGACTACCCGTCATAAGGTTTGAAGCTCCAAAGTCAATTATCCAAGGTCAATCAGATGAATGGGAAGACACATGGAAGGTTATGGCAGGATTACCATTACCTTAAGTAGATGCAAAAGAAGTCGAGGCAGGAGGATCAAAATCCATCTAGCATATTGCTCTCCCATACAGATCCAAGTGGTCACGAAAAGAATTAATGATATCTTCCTGGGGATCGGCAATGGATGGGCGGTCCAGGTTAATAACAGTAGATGAATGAGGCTCCTAAGAGGCCAAGTTTGTTGTATTGAACTTTTTTCTGATTCTGCTGTCCCAACTTCTTATTCTGATCTGATTTCTTACTCAACTCCTAGGCCCACTTTGGCTTTCCATGGAGGTCCCAACAAGTATCTCAAGTATGTCTGGCCTTTTGGTAATGTGTATACCATAACTTATCCTTATCACCCACTCTCTTCTAAAAGTCACCCTTCTTAAAGGAATTATTGCCTCCTACAACCATACTCCCTTTAGTCACTAAGGCAATATGCTCCCCCTCAGAGCTATTCATCACACTTTGCTTGCTCTCTTCGGACTGTACTAGAGCGTACACTTCTTGTACTGAAGGAAGATCTTTACTTCCTAATATCCGAACTTTGAGGGACTTATAACAAGGTTCAGCCCCAAGAGGAAGGCAAACACCCGTTGTTGGGAAACCAGAGACTTGTAGGCCTTAGCATTAGCATGACACTTCCAATCAATGTTCTGATAGTAATCTAGTTATTTCCAAATTGAGGTCAAATCTGAATAGTAGGTTGAGAGGGTCCTCTCCCCCTTCTTACAAGTAGAGGCAGCTTGCAATTGGTATATTTTGGCATAATAATGTTGCTTTGAATAGGTAGATATTGCCTGCTCCCAAATCTCAATATCTGTTTCAGCCTACATGAAGGTCTTCCTGACTGGAGGCAACATAGAAAGTAACAGCCATGTCATCACCATGCTGTTTTCCTGATCCCACCTATCATGCTCTACCCCCTGCGACTTCGATTCTTTAGTTTTACCATTAATATAGCCTACCTTCCCCCTGGCTATTATGTATAGTTTGATTCCCCTTGACCATTCTAGGTAGTTAAGACCATCAAAAGGTATCACAGCCATGTGGAAACTCATGTAAAATCCCCCACTCACTCCACCTTGACTGGAGGACCCACTAGACAGGATAGAATCCTCAGATGACATGTTATAAGATTTAGGTTCCCAGATCAGTTCTGTTCAAAATCAGTCACAGTTCAGCCACAATTCATTAACAGTTCCGTTCAGATTGGTTCAGTTCAGCCACTGTTCAATTACAGTTCAGTCAGTTCAGTCCCTAGTTCAGCCACAATTTAATCCCCAAGTCAGTCTCAGTCAAAGTATAAATTTTAGGGATACCACATAGATCAGCTTGTTTGCACATTGCTGAAAGACAGTTCAGAAACAAAGAGGGGCAATTCTGGAGCTAGGCTGACTTTGCATGTACCCTTTCATCACTTTTCTTGGATAACAATTACTGGAAAAGTTTGCAAGGAAGATAGCCGACCACTGTCTTACAGTTACAGGTCATTCAGACCTACACCGCCCAATTGTCTGGGTAGGAAAAAAAAATCAGGATCACACGATCAACAGTTCAAAGAGACCTAGCAGTTTCAGGTCATCTAGACCTCCAAAAACCCACTTAAATGGGTACAAGAGAGGATCACACGATCCACAGAAGAGAGATCTAACTTCGCAGCATCAGATTTCCCCTCCTTTAAGGGTTTCTTGGCACACGGCCAAGGAAGAAGAGAAGAAGACTAGTAGAACCCCCTTCAGATCAGTCCGATCTACTTCTTGATCAGATTCGATCCACAGCTAGGAGAAGTCAAAAAAAGGAAGACTTATCACACTCTTTCTAATCTCAGAAAGCCCGCTTGATACCATGTTTTCCAGGCTAGAGATATCAGAGGAGAAGAAGGGAGAAGAGGAAGAGAGAAGAGAGGAGAGAGAAGAAAATTTTGGATTCAAAACTTATGGCCACCAGCTATTAGCTTTTATATTAGGGCGACCCAACTAACAATAAAAATAAGTGGAATTACAAGAGTGACCCTGTGGCACTAAAGAACAGAAAAATAAATAAAAGACTGGGAGTAACTAACTGATTTCAACAGAGAGCTATAATTTTTTACAAAAATAGAAAATAAAAAACAAAAAACATTACTAAAAATTAACTTAGTAAAAAAATTGAATGCACATACTTATAGTCACCTAGGACAGAGTTGTAGCTGAAATACTCCAGTTCATTATACTCCTGACATGGCATGAGCTCTATACAATTAATTCCAAGTTCCTGTACAGCAAATGAACATTTACTGAGAATTCTGCAAGGAGCAGAAAATAATGGATGAGAAAATCTTGATATTGTCCTTGAAGTAATTGGTGCAAGTCCAAATTCCACATGCTAAAAGTAAACCAATTCTAGAAACAGAAGCCAAAATATATAGAATATTGATCATTAGATTATTAGCTTATCTGTCATCAATGCAAAGCATACGATAAAGGAGATTCCTCAAATTAATATTCCGAATATAGCTGTTTTTACACAGTTGATCATAAAATTCACTAGATAGAATAATGGTTCTTTTTTGCATTCATAAAGAGTGCAGAAAATGAGAATCAAATAGCTAAGGACTTCACATCTTCTTGGTAAGTTAATCAGAGGTTCATGTTAATGCAGTAACTATATTCACACTACAAGTAGAAAGTAGATGCTTTCAAGAATGATGGCTTCACTTTCCAACTATTCACTAATTATACAACTAACAATCAAGTTTCATGTAAGAGTTGTCTATGTGCCTAGGAACTCTAGAGTCTGACCATAAAAGCTCCTAGAGTTGTCTAAGAGTCATGACTTGTGGACATGTCTAATAGGAAAGCGCATTGTTAACTGGCGTGACTTCCTAAAAATCACATCACAGGCTATTTTATTACTTCTTCTATCTTTCCTTCAGCATATTTGTTGTGATGCCTCAAGGAGTGACGAAATTAAATATTGGGAGGATTTATGGTGGGTGGGGAGATAGCCCCTTGAAGGATCATTTTCCTGGCATCTATTCTATTGCCCAACCTCCTCTCTCTTTCGGAAGGAGTTTGTTGTGACCTTTTGTCTCTTTCTTCTATAATTTGGACCCTCACCCTTCAGGCTCTTTTGCATGTACCTCTTTCTTTTTTATTCTTCGTTTCTCCCCCATCATCTCAGTTGGCTTCCTCTTCTAGGTCGATTTGGAGTAATGCAATCAATCCTAAGGTTAAGGATTTCTACCAGGAGGTACGCCACTTCAAAATCAACTCCTATGAGCAACTTCCATTGAGAAGGCCCAACTGGTGTCTCTCCTCTCACAAATGCTTCTCTGCAACGCAAATGGATAATTCATTTTACATTTGCTATACTCCTACACTTTCACCTCTAGCATTTGGGAGTGGTCTTGCTCTCTTTGGTTGAACATAAAAGTATCTTATAACACAACGTACAAAATTGCTTGGCGATTAGGCGAGGCAAGCCTCCAAGGATGCCTTGCCACCTAGGTGCCCGCCTAGGTGTCGCCTTAACAACTGTGCTTGACACCCCATACATTTGGTGCTTCTATTTTTGTTTCCTTCTAAACATCCTTTTTTCTACCAAATAAGTTGAAATTTTGGGATGAGGCATCAAAATCTCATCTTTCTTTAACTTTTGCAGATTTGTGTTTAAATGAAATGTTCTTCACAAGCTTGGCTCCACTGTTTTCTAAAAAAGTCAAAATTGCCCCTCACAAAAGACTCCCTTTCTCTATCAGTTTGAAACCCTATAAGTAGTTAGTTGAGCGTCTGCTTCTTTCTCACAACTACACTCAAAGTTCCAGACCATTTTCCTCATGTTGAGTACATCTTTCTCACAAAAAGGCACTTTCCCTCCCAACCCTCTCAAAAGCCTCCCTTTCTCTTTCATTTTGAAACCCTATAGTAGTTAGTTGAGCGGCTGTTTCTTTCTCACAACTACATCCAAACCATTTTCCTCAAAAAGGTACTCTCCCTCTCTGTCTCCAACTAAGGGGCTGTCCGACAAGTCTTTTTGGGTAGATCTTTCAACAGCCCAGTAGAGAAATAGGTGCACTGAGCTCTTTGGAGCTTGTCTTTAAAGATCAAGACTATTTTGGCATTTGTAGTGAGAATGGGCCGAATGGGCCTTAGTTTCTTTATTTTATTTAAGTCATGTTTTTGCTTATGTTCTTTGAGTAGTGGGCCTTAGTTATGGGCCCGTTACTTGTTTTTATTGTTTCTTTAGTGTTGGCCACCCCATTAAGGGCACTCATGGAATTGTACTTAGATTAGAATTAAAAGAAATAAAAGAGATCTATGGGGGCTAGAGAGAAAGAGATCAAACTCTTCTCTTTTCTCTTCCGTTCTCATTTTCTTCTTCAAACTCCTACTGAAACTTCTCTTTCTTCTTTTCTTTTCTTTTCTGAATTATTACAAGTGTGTTTTACAACTTGGTATCAGAGAAGGTTCTCACCTCCCACTGATTGGTTGTTAGTTAGCTTATATAGCCCAGTTGGGAGGGTTTTTGTGGTGTTTTTCATCCCTACTTGAAGCCCAAGGCAGGTTCTTGGAGATTTTTTTTCCCGAAAACCCTAGATAACTGGAGAAACTTTGTTATGGGTGTTATGGGTTCTAGAGACACTTTAAAGATTACACCTGGGGATCAAAGGGAAGCCTATTGATTTCCATTAAGAGTGATTTGTGTTGGAAAGAGTTAGGGAACCTCTAGTAGGAGCAATTGAACTTTTTCCTCTTCTCCCATTCTCCCAAGTCCTATAAAACCCTAGTTTTGGGTGGTTGTGAAGGAAGGGTTAGGATCCATCACATGGGTGGCCAAACCATGCTAGACGGCTGGGAAATTTTTCAAAAATTTCCTAATCCTTCCACAAATCGAATTCCTATGTTTCAAAAAACTGCATTTTTCAGGATCGGTCTTGCACTGAACCAGACCAGATTTGAAACCAAACGAAGAGGGAGAGGTATACCTGATACGAATGCCACAAAAGCAGATCCCAAGGTGGAAATTCACGCCCAAATCAATCCTAAAATCAGCCTCCACTGAAGACGGCACAGTGTACTCCTGAAGTCGGTTCAGCAACATAGTTTTCAGCAAAACTGCAATTCAACTGCTTGGATTGAACTAGGGATGTGAGCACGAAATCCCTCTGGATTTTTCTTGCAAAAATCAGAGGAAAACTGATCTCTATCAGTCCCAAATAAGTTGTAGTCGAACTAGGGTTTCTTGGAAGACAAAAGAAGAGAGAGAACAGAATTGAGAGGTGTTCTTGTCTAGTTCACCCTCTTCTTCTTTTATCTCTTTTATGGAGCACTTCTCCCAATCAAATTAGGAGATTATCCAAATCTAATTTGGATCTAGACTCTAATAAGAGATAAGTCTTATCCTCTTAAGAGGATAGGTGCTCCAAACCCAGATTTTCCCCATGTCACATGACAACTTAAGCTATCGTGACAGCTTAATTAATCATATTAATTATGGGCTTTAGGCCCATTAGTTATAAGGCTCACGACCCAAGGGTGTTGCATGGCCAACTTAGGCCTGATTTGTATAGTGTGGGACCCCACGATGACCTCACATAAGACCACATGAGTTCGGCCCAGCCTCTGTGAAAATGCCTGGCCGAATTCATTACTAAACGCAGTGAACCCTTGAGCACATCACCATGGGCTCAAAATGGACCCGACATTTACACTTAATGATCCTTGAATTCAGCCATCCTATGAAGACCCAAGGATAATGGACTTAAGTAAGATAAAGGCATAAAGCCCATCAGGTAATCTGCCCTGTAATGATCAAACACTGCCCGATAGGGAAGGACCTCTCCCCTAGTTGAAAGGTGCATGTCACACTCTCAAAGAGAGTGTAAGCCCTACCATTCATTTTGTCCGACAAAGGGGCTGGTCCTATCACTATGATCACCCACTCAAATGAATTCTCAGATTGCCCCAACATACCCAGGTTTTGACCCTCAATGGATCTCACTAATTGGCATATCAAAGACAGCCCAATCCAATACCTAGTGCAATACCATAATCAAGTCTAGGGGTTAAGTGTGACTTTCCAGTTTTTCCCATCAATCTCCAAGGTTCAGGACATAACTGGAAAATGGTATGGGTTCAGTGTTTCAACCAAACACACACTGCATGTGCTTTGGGTCTAACCCTACCAGCTGAGACAAGTTGCCCCAACTTCTTTGGTAGCACATCAATGTCAGCCTTGGCAGGATAAACTCCCCAAGTCTATCCAATGACTGAGAACATTCTAAATAACACGTGTCTCATAGGTGTCCAGTTTAAGGGGTAATTTCATAGAAACATACCAATATCAACATGAAACAATAATGTACTTTTATTCATTTACAATAAATGTATTTGTACATCAATCTGATTGGAGCTAAGCGCATACACTGTCTAACAGGTTGAAGAGTAGCTTTTTGCGTGGGATAGCAATTCTAGCTTAGTAAAGCCCTAATTTGATTTTTGTTTGCATATATTCACTCAATAGAGAAAACCAGAGGAGAAGTCAAATATCCCACAAATTCCGGATTTGAACATGGGGGGTCAATGAAGACTCTTTTAGGGGAAGTGACCACTGTGTAATTGGATGGAACCAATTATTTAGCCTGGTCTCAGCCAATTAAGAGACATGCATGTAGTAGAGGAAAATGGGATTACATTACTGGGAGCAAGAAGAAACCAATGGAGGATGACCCTACTTATGAAAGGTGGATGCAAGAAAACTACACAGTAGTGGGTTGGTTAGTGAATTCTATAAAGTCACATATTAGTCAGCATTACCTATGGATGAAAATTGCAAAGGAAGTGTGGGATAGTGTCCTGGAAACCTATTCCCAAAAGTTGAATGTTGCTCGGGCCTACAAATTGAAGAATGATGTGAACAATCTAAGACAGGGAGAGAAACCCTTAGTCGTCTACTTCTCCATGCTAAAATCTATTTGGCATGAGATTTATTTGATGGAGACTATTGTATGGAGATGTACAAAGGATGCAGAAACACATAGAAAGTTGGTGAAGAGAAATTGAGTTTTTTAGTTCCTCACCGGACTCAACTCGGAGATTGTGAGACAAAATATTTTGGCAAAGGATGAGGCGACTTAGTCTGAGGCCTATGCTATGGTAAGTAGTGAAGAGAGTAGAAGACAGGTTTAGTCTGTAGAGCCACTGGTTGGTCACTATGCTAATACCAGGATGAAACGAAGGTCAACACTAGGAAGAAAGATGTTATCTATGAGT